TTTTTTGTTCCCCCACCCCATTTTCCACACTGCGCTTTGAAAAAGTTTCCTTTCCATTTATATAGAACTTTAGGCATACCAAAATGAATGATAGCTAGTATGTGTTCACAATTCATTGTACCTCTTCCGTCAACTTGACGGGGGTGCCACTCGGACGATGCACGCATGTGACGGCGTCGGCTCCCCCTTTTTTGTGTCCCATGACGGACATCTCATGTAGTGTGCTTTTTTTGCGCGGTCTTATATATGGGTTACACCTCAGCGCATGAGCCATCCCCGCTGTGCTTCCCTCTCTGCTCATCATTTTCGCTTCTACCATTTTCCCCCCCTCACAGTGACAGTTTATTTAAAATTTTATTAATTGGAGACAGTGGCGTCGGGAAGTCTTGTTTGCTCCTTCGTTTTGCCGTAATGCCGGAGTGTCAACAGAACGGGCTGCATGTGCTCAGGCGCATGGGTCTGTTTGCCTCTTTTTCCGCCTGCCTACCTCTTGCTGCGCGTGCACAGTTACACACCTCTGTCTGACATGACGAGATACCCCTGTGCGAGACCTCCACATTGCGCCTCCTGTCATCCCCTCCTATGCGTGGGTCAGCCAAAGGGGCAGACAAACAATACCTAAATCAATCGTTTCGAAACGGAGAATGGCCAAACCAACGTTGCGCCGATTTTTATCGTCCAGTGTTGTGAGGCACATTCGTTGTCTCAAAATTGGTAAAATGACGTAATCACACCACTGCGTATATTTTTCCTCCCTTCCAGGATGATACCTACACGGACAGTTACATCAGCACTATCGGAGTTGACTTCAAAATAAAGACGATAGAAATTGAGGACAAAATTATAAAATTGCAAATAGTGAGTCGACATTTGGCTAGCTGCCTTTTCTCGCGAAGGCGATATTGGAGGTGGAGGCTGACGGAGTGGAGAAGCGGCTGCCATAAAGTAACTTATGTAACGATTTTTTTTTTTTTTTTCCCCAAACAACTGCAGTGGGACACAGCGGGACAGGAACGATTCAGAACGATAACATCTTCCTATTATAGGGGAGCACAAGGTTATCTTTCATTTTTTTAAAAATACTATGTTTTGCAAACGTTGCCGTGAAAATGGTGCCTCTGCAGGGGGCTGAGAGGTGTGTGTGCATTCAGTTCATTACGTAGGCGAACCCAGATGCACACGGACCGCGGGCCACCATCCCCCACTCACAGGAATCATCATAGTGTACGACGTTACCGACCGGGACAGCTTCAACAATGTGAAAAATTGGATAATCGAGATAGAAAAGTAGGAGAAAGGGGGAGTGCTTCTCGGCCAGTATATATCCATCTGCGCGGATGCTTTCGCACCGCTTCGACGGGTAGCGACTTCTTTACGTGGCGACTTCTTTCCATGCCGACCTACCGCTTCCCCCCTTCGTAGGTACGCGTCGGAGGACGTGCAGAAGATCCTCATCGGGAACAAGATTGATTTAAAAAACGATCGCAATGTTAGTTACGAGGAAGGAAAAGAGTTAGCCGACAGCTGCAACATTCAATTTCTCGAGACTTCGGCCAAAATAGCCCACAACGTGGAGCAAGCCTTTAAGACCATGGCGCACGAAATCAAAAATAAATCTCAGCTGGAGAATCAGCAGAAGGGAAGGGCCAACATCAATTTGAACGCCAAGCCGATAAAGGATAACAAAAAGAAGTGCTGCTAAAGGGGGCGCCATGACAGTGTGCGCGTGAGTCCGATGGGTTCGAGCTGGGATAACAAAGTGGAGGTGCAAAAAGGGCGGATTACAACGCAGGGGACGACTGGGCGGGTTAACACTCAAATGTGAATCGTTGAGTGATGCGCCTTTGTCGGGGATTCCGTCTTAGCTTCGTCGCGGATTCCCTCTTCGCTTTGCCTACTTCGTCAACTTCGCCTGGTTCGTCTACTTCTCCTGGTTCGTCTACTTCTCCTGGTTCTGCCTCGTTCTTCCTCCCTCTGCTGCCTCTCGCCGTGGCTCTCCCCCCCTTTTTTTTTCCAAGTCATGTGTTGCCTGGACACCAGGAAGAAAGATACAGAAGATAAGACACCATGGCCCCTCCTTTCCACGTTTGCAAAAGATTTTTATATGTTTTAAAAAATGGCACTCGGCAGAAGCGAATATATGCCGATGCGACGCTGCACAGGATGCGCGTCCACGCGTGTGCCTGTGAGATGGGCCAAAGCTTGTACACACGTAAAGTGCCCTCGTACATAGCAATTCGGGCGCCTATACATCTGCTCAAATGCAGTAATTATGAGGATAGTCTTTTTTTTTTTTTTCTTTTTTTTTTAACCTAATGATTCAGTAATTTAAAATTTTTGTTCATCGATCATTTTTTTTTTTTTTTTGCATCACCCCATCTTTCCCCCTTCATGCTTTTATCTTCACCATTTTATGTATTATATTTATTTTTTTTTTTACTATTTTTTTGCCTAATAAGCTTTTCTTTTTTTCCTGTCTTGGTAACCTCCACGCTGTATTTATTTGTGCCAGTTGTTCTTTGTTCATCTGCATGTGGGCCTAGAACATGGGCAACACATGGGCTTGCACATCTCTGTGTGCATTCCCCTGTGCCCGGGCGTACCTGGGCAGTGCGGGGGGTACAACTCCATGTGCATATTGCTGCACCGACTAATTATGTTTCCCAAATTTTTTTGCGTTTGAAGAATTGTGAAATGTGGACCGTCGCGTGGAAGATAGCCAATGGTTCGGCGCCAGCATCACGAAAAAGATGCACAACGGTTTGACGCCAACATCGAGAGATAGTTGGCCACCTGTTTGATGCCTACCCCATGAGGGGCTCCAGGTCCTCATTGTAACTGAGAATGCTGTAAAGAGGGACGTTTAGTTTCTTCTCAAACAAATCTTTGAAGTACACCTTCTCATTGTGCTCGTTCAGTTCGTACTCATTTCGGTTAAGTAAAACGATGAAAGCGGCGACCCTCAAATTGGGGTATGACTTTAGCTTGTTCATTATCTCCGTCAAGGCAGTGCCACAGGTAAAGACGTCGTCAATTATGATTACCTTTTTTTCGCTCCCATCCTCCTTTGAATTGTTTACATCGCCATTAACCTCTTCGTCCAAGTTTCCCACAATGAGCGTCTTGTCACCATAATCTTTTTTTTCCTTTCTGTCGTACAGGTAAAAAACATTTGCAAATTTCTTCGACTGGAATAAGAAGTGGCTAGTTAGAGTTGCTATTGGAATGCCTTTATAAGATGCCCCCAACAGATAATCGAAGGGAATTTTTTCCTTTAAAATTAAATGAGAAATTAAAAACGAAATAATGTGTGCAGAAACGATGTTATTTAATACTCCACTTGAGAAAAAATATTTTGATTTTCTCTTTGATTTTAAAATAAAATCACCAAATTTTATGGCCTTATATTTTAACAAAGCAGTGATTAGCAATTTTTTCATTTCCTTCACGTGACAGTTGTTCTTGTCATCCTTTTCCCGTTCGATGCATTCTCGAAGCTGGATATATTTTCTGTGTAAATCTTCGTCACAGAGATGGTTCGTTTGGTTGATAGTTTTCACTTCTTCCATTCTGTTGAGAATTTTCCAGACAAGAAAAAAAAAAAAACAAAAACAAAAAAACAACAAAAAAAAGAAGTTACTTTATCTTCAATTTGAAACACTGGCGCTCATATGCCGGGGGAGGGTGGCGTCGCACAGTGTGTATTTTTCCAAATGCGGCGGAAAGAAAAGGGTTGGCTCAAGGTAACCCTTAACGGAATGTACAAAGAAATAATCCAATGAACAGTTTGCAAAAGGGTCTACTTCTCCTTTGGTGAAATAAAAAAATTATGAAAAAATCTGTACTTGCAGCTGCGCATAACAGAGTATTTCCTCTGCATCTATCTATATCTGGGTACACTCTTCTGTATGTTCCTGGATGCCGCGCCTTTATTTACGCCCGTTTTGCTTCTTTTGCTTTTTCTACATCATCTGGAGGGGGAAGAAAAGCAACCCTTTGAGGAAGATCCGCCACGCGCAGAGGTTATCTTCTATACATGTATATTATATATATATGTGTATATATGTTTTTTTTCTTTTTTTTTATGACTTGTTCATATTTTTTTAAACCTTTTGGCTCGATTTTTTTTTTTTAACTCTGTTCATATTTTTTTTAAATTTTTGGTTAGATTTTTTTTTCTTTTCTCGAACGGGGGGGCACATTATGATTCTAACTTGAGATAAGCGCGGTAACAACACCGATCAGAGTTCGCGGATCGGGTATCGATGCGGGGGTTATGCGTGAATACGCCGCAGGTACACATATACGAATAGCGGGTTGTCAGTTGGGCAGCTCTGTTCCCTTTCTCTCACTTTCAGCTGCCGAGTCGCCGTTCTGCACTGGTATATTGCATGCGCGCGACGGCACACCAAAAAAAATAACAAGTTGGAGAGGCAGTTGGGCAAGAAGTTGCATGCAGGGCGACGCAAAAAAAACAACTGCAAATTGCCCGAAAATTACCCGGAAATTTCCCTTAAATTCCCTACAAATTTTGCCCACGAAGTGCGGGGGCGGGCCGACGCGCCAATTCGTAGGACGGAAATGGAGCGGTCCGCCAAAGGGTCGGCCGGGGGGCGTTTTCCACGGGGTGAGAGAGCCACTAGTCAGCGCTCCCCCGAGCCATGCCCTACCAACAAAACGTTTCCAACACGTTCATGCTTAATGCGACTTTTATAGCCTTCTCCACGGACTTCTTACGTGCAACAAAATTGCAAAGGATGCTTTTATCCAAATGGTGATCTTCACAATTTGACATGCACATTAGCAATTCAACCCACTCGCTTACGTTTCCGGGGTTATTCTGTGTTGCCAAGTGGGAAGGGGAAGTCATGCTGTTCCGAGTTGGCTGCTCCTGCACGGTACTTGTGCGCAAATGCAAATCGTCCAAAAGGTCTTCCTCCATTAGGATGGAATAATTTTTCGTTATCGCATAAAGGCTGACTCGTATGAGATGAGTGTCACTTGCTGCGTTTATCATGTGGCGGTGAAGTGGGGTTCCACTGCCGACCAGCTTCTGTACAATTCGCATATCTTTCCTGCTCCTATGGTGACGTAAAACTATTTTGTGTTTAAATAAAAGGAAAAGCAGCAAGGGGTTCGTATACGTCGTGGCGGTGGGGTGAAAGTCGGAGAGGCAGATTTGTTCAACTTGTTCTGCATACACTTTTGACAGGTTCCCTACAAAATGCTTATCATCATTTTTGTTAAACAAAATATTTTTTACTTTTTTATTTTTCCTCCCCATGTTGCGAAAATAAAGTAGACACACATAAATGAGTAGACTCCTTTCGTCGTTCATAAAGGTCCACCTCTTCAACGTTGTGCTCGCAATATCAACAAGGATCCGCGCAATGGGGTTGCCTCTTACAGCACGGTAATTCACCTTATTTTTTCCTTTTTGCAAAAGTGAACATAAATAGAGAAGACTGTGCATGATTAATGAGTACAGGTGCTTCCTTCTCATGCTGTCCACATGTCTGCAAATGTAAGTCCTACATAGCACCATCAGTTTGTTCATTACATCATTGGAATTTTTAAAAATATATATATTTTTTTTTTTTTTTTTTTTTCCCACTCCATTCAGGTGCACATGTGTTAAGGCGGTTTTAAAAAACAACATGAAGAAGTTGTTATCCCCTCTGTGAACAATCCCCCCATTTGACAGCAACAAATTTGTAAAGACGTTTCTCAAGAGGAGAGTTTTCCTTTTAAAGTCGTTTCCGCTGTAGAGGTAGACCTTCAGCAATTCCGCGCAATTAAAGTCGCCCACTTTTCCCTTTACCGCCTGGGTTATTTTGCTGCACAATGTGCGATTTTTTTGCCTGACCATGTTCATACAAAACTTTACCTTTTTTTCCTGCCCAGCTAGTCTGTTCACATATTTGTAACTTTTGAGCAGCAAAAAATTATCCACGTTGTTCCAGTTTATCCCTTTTAAAATTGTCAAAATGGTTATGTTTAAAAGTTTCAACTTGGTCTTACGTGATGGTAACGCATTTGGTCCGTCTGACTTAACGTTGTTTTTTTGTTCATCGATTTGGCTGTTCGTATTGCGGGATGGGAGCTCATCCACATTGCTCCCCTTCTTTGATACTACACTTGTATTGTGAATAGCCTCCGGCAAAATGTAACAGTTGTCGTGACGTGGGCCCACTTTCACACGGAGGCACTGCAACATGGTTAGAAGCTTCAGAGGAGGGATTAAAAATTCAAGGGTGACTTGTTCAGGGTCACACATTGAAAAAAATTTGACCAAGAATTCAGTTAACGCATTCGTTAAGGGGTCATCTTTTATTTTATTTTTCAAAACTTCTATGTAGAGGAACACAACAGAAGCACATACGTTCTGAGCACACACGTCGGAGAAGACACCCGCATTTTTTAAGGCAATATATCGTCTGCATTTGTGGAGAGCGGACATGTACAACGCGGTTAGGAAGTCGCTACATATATCTGTGTGTCTGCTAACCATTACAATCTTGTGGGTGTAAAAAAAGTGAAGATTCGTAAGGTCACTGTTGAGGAGTATCTCTCTGTACATTTTTGTCAATTTTGAAAAATCATCTTTTTTTTTTAAAAATGCGTAATCATACCGAGTGACGTGGTGCAGAAAAATTGCCATGGGGATGACCTCCTTTTTGTAGAAACTTACCCTGGTGCGCTGCTTGTTGATGAAGACAGTGGACTCGGGCCCGTAATCGGCTGGGGAAAATGCACTTCTGTTTTCGGTGGGCGTGCTATCACGCGGGTCGTTCTGACAACCCGTTATGGTTACCTCGACGGGATCGCTACGGATCGGTAAGTTCCTTTCCCCTCCCTCCTCGTGAAGCCAAACTCGATTCGCAAAACAGCTGAGGGGCTTGTCCCTTCGACGGGCAGCACGCTTACTAATTCTGTATAATGCATAAAGGGTCAACAGGTTATTCCTGTTTTTGTGTCGCTTCCTATTTGCATAGAGGGCGCTACGAAATGCGGGACTAGTTAGGAGCTTATTTTTCTGCGAATAGGAGTCTGCGTTGAAGCGTTCCTTCTCCTCTTTGTTCACAGATAGGGAGAGACACTCCCCGGGGTTACCCCCCTCTGCTGTGCAGTCACCTCCCAAGAACAAGGTTGCGTATCGGAGCAGCCTCTCAACAAAGTGATTGTCCTTGACGTCGTTCCTGTTCAGCACATACAGGTAAGTCAGAATGTCTTTCAAACTGATGAGTGGCAATTTTTTTTTCTCCTTTTTGTGCACATCGAACAGGTTGACATGTTTTAATTTCTTTTTTTTTTTTTTCTTCTCCGCCTTCTTCGGGCTGATGAGCAGCTCTTCCCCTTTCCTTGTCAACCTGTCAACTGTCTTTGTCACAAGGGAGGAATACGCATGCATGAATTTGACGCTGTACAATTTCCACTTTTCGAGGGCCAAAGCAGCTAGCGAAAAATATTTTATTTTTTTATTTTTTTTCATATCCATGCATTGGGAAATTTTACGAATGAGTAACTCCATGAGGGCATTGTCCCTCACAGAGAAGTAGGAGTAAACAAAAGCGATCCTGCTTAGTGTGTTCAGGTCATCTTCACAATGCAGGTACGTTTTCACATTTCTCGATAATGTTATGAGGAGGTTTCTCATCAAGCGGTTGTCTACCGGCATATTGCTTTGGTACCTCTCCCCCTTATTCCCCGGGGGATTGACAAAAAGGCCATCATCAACAACGTAAAATAACCTTAAGTACCATTCATAGTTCGAGGGGGTATCCTTTCCGTAAATCTGTTTTACTACTTGGGTGAAGAAGTACTGATACAGATTATAAATAATTAAACTGATCTGTCGGCTGTTCATATGACTGTGTGTGTGTTGCACTTGCTTCATCATTTTTAGGATGACGTGATTGTGGTTTTCCTCGTGGTATATGTTGATTAGGCTGACTCTAAGATAGGTGTTGCAGATGTCTTTGTTCCTCCCCAAATGGAAGATGCTGCTCAGCGCGCTCGCGTTCTTCAGGTCCTTCTCCCTCCTGTCTTGCCGGATGGTTGCGCGCGGGAAGAATTGGAACGCCTCCCTAGGGGGGAGAGACTCCTCAATTGGGAGTGATTCACCAAGTGGGAGCAGTTCACCAATTAGGGGCGATTCACCAATTAGGGGCGATTCACCAATTAGGGGCGACTCACCAATTGTGGCTTCCCCCTTTGGGGTCAGCTCTCCCCACCGAAGCTGCGCCTGCCCCGAGGGAGGCAGCGCCCCCCTTAGCAGCGAGACGTTCCCCCTTCGCGCGGATTGCACTTCCCCATTCTTAAGGTGGCAAATGAAGTGAAACTGGGAAGAAGGCACCTCCTTCAGCTTCCTCCTCTTTAGTCTATTAAAGCTTCTTTCCTCATCAGCCTTCTTCTTCTTCTCGAACACGTAGTTGATATGTTTCGCCGTTTTGGAGCTCAGCTTTTTGTGTCTCTTTGCTCCCCCTACTCGGCTGCTTATTACGAAGCCTCGATAAAATTGGTCGGCCCTTTTTTTTACCTGACTGTTAAAGACACTTCGCCGCAGAAGGGGACACAACGGGTGATACGCCGCCATAAAAAGAAGCAAAAAAAAGTATACCTTCAATTTGGTGGATTATTGCTGACATTCTCTTTAACAATACAGAGACGTGGGTCTTCAGCGGAAAGGGTGCCAAGCACGTGCACACTGTCGTGCTTCCACCCGGAAAAGAAGCGTGGCCATCAACAGGTCAATCAGGTCAATGAGGTCATCAGTCAGGTTAGTTGCCTCCCATTTGCTTCATTCGGGGGAGTGATCACGTCAAACGACATTACACAACATAGCATTCAGTTGTGCCGCCTTTCCCAGGCAAGCGGGGGCGCGGAGCGAAAATGTCACTACGCCAGAACAAAGCCGTTCACCGGTCATTATACTTCCCCACTGCAGGTGTTTAGAAAAACTGGTGGACCATTTTTGACGCCCTTCTTCCCACCCCTATGTGCCTCGTAAAAAGGGGCACGTCGGAATGAAATGCTCACCATTTTGGCAAAACGGAGAAGTAGAAAAAAAAAAAATGCACAACAACTTCGAAAAAACGATAAATGAATGTAAGAAAAAGCATCTTAAGTTATTTAGCTCTGCATAGCAGCGTCGTCCCGAGGAGCCATCCCCAGAGCTATCACAAGGAATGCAGGCAGCGCGGCAGCCCAAACGGGATGGAAAAGAACAACAAAATGAAAAGCGTGAGGCCCAATTATTTTGTATGCATCCCGCTGTCAGGAAACAAGGGCCTAGTGGAAGAATTGATCAAAGTACAAAACCACGTCTCTTCCAAATTTGAAATGCTCAAAGAATGTGCAATTGAGAGAAACAAGTTTCACATGTCTCTCCTCATTTTACACGTGAAGAAATCCCAAATGGAGTCCTCCAAGGAGGCCTTCCATGAAGCCATGGAAGAAATTAAAAAGCTCAACCATCAAGCCATTTCGTTCAACACACTGGAAACGTTTCGAAACGATGTTTTATATGCAGGCCTGCATGAGGGCAGCCGGAAGTACATAATAAATATGATAGCTCTCCTGAGGGACTCCTTCGCCAAGAGGGACATACACATCTGCAGCAACCGCAGGGGTAAGGAGGAGGCCCGGGAGAAGAAGCGCCCGAGCGGCACAATGGAAAAAAGTGTAGCCAACCCAATCGACAAAGGTGCAGCTAACCCGATCCGCAAAGGTGCCGCCAACCAAAGCGACAAAAGTGAAGCCTCCCCCAGCACAAACCAATGCGGTGACAAAGAAGAAGTAACCCCCCACGTAACCATCATGAAAAACTCCTACCTGAGAAAAATCTACGCCAACAGGAAGCCCCAGATTTTCGCCGACTATTACGCCGACTTCAACTTGTCCAAACTGCAAAATGAGCGAGTGTTGCCAAACAAAATACAGTTCCTCGAAATGGACACGGACTCGACAACGTCGTACTATAGAGTCATCGCTGAATGTGGTCTTCCTTGAGTTGGTAGGCATTCCGCCAGTGCGGAGCATTTATGCGTTCACAATTTTGCAACGTTGGCAGCTAGCCATTTGTCCGTCTTTTTTTTTTTTTTTTTTTT